GACAAGAGTTTCTTTTTTTCTTATGGTCTACCAGTGACCACTTTTTGTCTCTTCAGACTCCTCCAAAGCTTGGGCTGGGTATAAAAGGACTTGCCACACCCATGAGGCATTTCACTACTTAGGAGCATTTCTTCCTTTTTTTTTTTTATTATTTATTGTGATTTGGGTGAAGATTTACAGAGCAAATTCGCTTTCCATACAGCAGTTCACATATACTTTGTTGCATGTTATTGACCACAGTTTACCACAATGCAACAGCTCCCCTCCCACTTCCTTCCCATAGTTACCTCTTCCCAGTGTCCATCCCTCCATACTCTCCTGCCCCCTGAGCTGTCTCCCTGTGCATAAGCAGCCCTTCCTTCTCCCATGATTGTTCTCTCCAGGGCATGTGTCTACTTGAGGTAAATGTTTAACTCACATGCCTGTACTTTGTTTGGCTGGAAACCACAGGTGTGGGTTCAATTCCAGACCTGAAGGGCAGCTAGGGGCCATAGTCTCAGTGGTTCCACCAGGCTCTATTGGACCAGCAAACCTGGTCCCCACCTTCTTTTTTTTTTTTGCCTCCAAATGATTTTGAGTTTTGTTCCACATTGTTCTCCCACTCTATCCAGGATCTCCTACATCTCTTCCAAGTGGATGACAGTGGTAGCCGGGCACCATCTAGTTCTTCTGGTCTCATAGTTGTATAGGTTGCAGATTGGATGGTGTACCAGTCGCTAGGACTGATTGTTTCCATTAATTTTGGTTTTCTTCTTGATGAGGAGAGACCCATCGTTGCATCTAGATGGCAGCTTGCTAGCTTTTAAGATCCCAGTCACTACTCGCCAAAGTAGGAGGTGGAACAAAGTTTTGTATAGTATGTTATACCAATTGAGCTTGATGTCCCCTGCGACTATGGTCCCAAGCCCGCAGGTTCAACTACTCGGTTGCTCTGGGTAGCTGGCTGTGACCAAGCAGTGACCACAACCTTGCCACTTAGAGGAGCATTTCTGATGAAAGACTGGGTGCTGAGAGGAGGCAGAACCCAAGGGTTAGAAGTTCTGGATTTAATTTATCTCCCTCTCAGCGGTCCTCCTTATCACAGTAACTGCACTGCAGTTTCTCCCACACTGAAAGGGAAATTAGGAAAGGGCTAAGAGCAAAAGTCAGGACTGTCACAGAGACACAGAGCAAATTCTCCATGATGTCCTCTTCAATGTGCCAAACAGAGGGCTCTGGCCACTCTCTAGGACTGTGGTGCCAACAATTACCTCAGCTTTCACTTCTGTAGGGGAAGGAACTTCAGAATAAACCACATCCTTCATGTGCTGGAGGTCTGAACCTGGTGTTTTAGTTTTTGAAGTCCCTCACCCAACCTAGGTCTTGATTAGGAGGGAGACATATTTAGTGGAATCATGACTGAGAGAGAACGAGAACTCTTAAGCTTGTAGTTTGGCTACTCAAAAATCAGATCCCAAACAAAACTTCGTTTAGTTAAACACACACACATATGCACAAATGAAACAAAACAAAATAACAACAATCACGATAAAAAAGCACAACCATCCAGAGAAAATGCATTCAGAACTTTCCATCCCAACAGATGTTTGAATCATTTGAAGTCATTTAGAAAGTCTCTGAATAAGCATAGAAACTGATTGTGTCTTTGTTCTGAAAATCTCGATTAGTAAGTGTAGTGATGGAGGAAATACTGCCTGCACGGCCCACTGCACACCTAATATTCTGTCAGTAGGAAATCAGCCCTTGTCCCCAGACCATCCAGAACTGAGAGACAGACCGAAGACTGGGGTCTGGAAGGCCAGGTTCCTCTAGAATCTCAAAAATTCCAGATTTAGGAGGATTTGAAAGCTTAGGTTATCTGCTGTGGAAATGCTTAATTCCTTTTCTCTGGACATTTTTGGAAGGCTTTCTGCTTTTTTAATCTCTTGATTTCTTGTTTGTGACCAAGTTCAAATTCCAAAGGGAGAAGCAGCCAATATGTGTGATTATTTCCTCTTGCACCAAGTGGAACTAAAAGAGTGAACTTACTTCACTAGAAATAAATGTACCCTTTGGACCTTAAAATAAAATGAGCATGCATGGTTGGTCTGGTCCCTGTGCCTTTTGTGCAGTAATTAAACACAAAAATGAAAAAAGATGTCAGAGGAATGTATTCATGATCTTTTTTTAGACCCAAGGCAGAAAAAGAAGGAGAATCTTTAAAAAGAATCTTTTTCCTCCATGCTCCCTTTGCAGGGAAGGCTGCCTGGTGGAGAGGAAATACAGGATCTGGCTTGTCTGGGGATCACATTCTGGCCCCACAGCTCAAGGGCTGTACAATCTTAGATTTTTTTCTCTCTCTTTTTTTTTTAAGTATAATTTTATTTATGTTTTGTTGTTGAGAATATACACAGCAAAACATATACCAACTAAACAATTTCTACATGTACAAATTCAGTGACGTTGATTATATTCTTCAAGTTGTGTAACCATTCTCACCCTCTTTTTCTGAATTGTCCTACCCCATTAGCATAAAGTCACTACCCTCTAAAGTTCGTATCTGATCTTTCGGGTTGCTGTTGTCAGTTTGATCCCATACAGAGAGATCTTAAAAGAGTACAGTGCTCAAAGCAGACACTCTTTACTAGTTAAGTGTCTTATTTCTCTAGTGCTGCTGTAACAGAAATACCACAAGTGGTTGGCTTTACCAAGCAGAAATTTATTCTCTTAACAGTTTAGGAGGCTAGAAGACCAAGTTCAGATGCCAGCTCTAGAAGTGTGTATCTGTGTCTCTTGTTCCTAGGAGGATCCCAGCACAGGCACCCTGGGTCAAAGGACATGTTCCACTCCTGGCTCCTCTTTCTTAGTGGTAGTAGGTCCCCCTTCTCTGCTTCCTTCTCTCTCCTTTTATTTCTTGTTAAGATAAAAGGTATTGCAGGCTATACCCCGGGGAAGGTCCCCTTACATTGGATCAGGGCTGTGATGGAGCTAAGGGTGTTACAACCCACCCTTAATTGTAATCCTTTTACACTGATCAGTTTATCATATCAAATCACATCATGGGGTATCATTACATATCTGAACTTCTAAGCCACTGAGAATCATGGCCCAGCTAAGTTGACAAAGATTTGGGGGAGACACAATTCAGCTCATGACATTAAGTTAAACTATTATTTGGTTTTAAGAAGACTTCAGGAAATATTTCTGGTTCAAAGTTTAAAGATTATCTCAGGGCACTAGATTCTGGGTTCATCCAACTTTCATGGCTCCAAGAAGTCTAGAGTACATGAGAATTTGAAATTCTGTTTTATATATTCCCCCTTTTGATCAGTGTTCTTTTGTGGGATCTTTCATAAAAATATTCAGTAATGGTAGGTGGACACCCTCTAGTTCTTTTGGTCTCATGGCAAAGGGGGCAGTTGTTCATGGAGGCAGTTAGCCACACATTCCACATTCTCCTCCTATTCCTGACTCTCCATCTTTTTCTGTTGTTCCAGGTGAATAGAGACCAATTGTTGTGCCTTGTATAGCTGCTTACAAGCTTTTAAGACTCCAGGCACTAGGAGTTAGAACAGAAGTACTGGGATATCCCATGAAATCATGACCCTAAACCTCCAAACCAAGGAACTAAATCCACTGAAATCGTTGTTTGTACATAATCAGCCTTGGCATCTGCTGCTTTTTGGGTCAGTGTTGTAAATATATCTGTCACACAACTTTTGCCAATTTACCTTTTTACAGGTATACAATTAACTGACAACCATTACAATAGTTGGCTGTGGAACCCTACCTTCAATCAACATGACATTTTTATCACTATCAACACCCCTCTTACTCCCTCCCCGGGAGCTCTGGTGATACAGTAGTTAAGGCATTCCTCTGCTAACCAGAAGATTGGTGGTTCAAACCCATCAGCTGTTCTGTGAGAGAAAGATGAGGGAATCTGTTTCTGTAAAGATTTACAGTCTTGGAAACCCTATGGGGCAGTTCTACTCAGTCCTATAGGGTCATCATGAGTTGGAATCAGCTCGATGGCAATGAGTTGGGTTGATGGGCATTTAGGTTGTTTCTACCTTTTGGCTATCATGAATATTGCTGTGGTGAATATTGGCGGACAGTCTCTGAGTCTCTGCTTTCAAGTCTTTTGGGTATATACCTAGGAGTAGAATTACTGGTTCATATGGTAATGATATTTTTAGTTTTTTGAGGAACTGCCACACTGTTTTCCACAATGGCTTGCTGTTTTGCATTCCCACCAGCAATGGGCAAGGATACCATCTTAGGTATCTTAACTTCTCTGAGCAATGGTAAACAATGAGGATTATAAAACTTCACATAATTGTTATGAGGACTGAAAGAGATAATATATATAACACTTTTAGCACAGGGCTTGGCACAGGGCAGGCTCTCATTAAAAACCAAACCAAACCAGTTCTATCAAGCCATTTCTTACTCACGGTGACCCCATATGTATGAACTGTTCCATAGAGTTTTTGATGGCTGTGTCCTTTTGAAAGTAGATTGCCAGGACTTTCTTCCAAGGTGCCTCTGGGTGGTCTCATACTGTCAGTCTTTTGGTTAGTAGTTGAGCACTTACCCGTTTGTTGTAGTAGTCACTAAATGACTAAATGTTCATTATTACTATCTTACTATAATCACTGTAAGACAGTGTCATTAACGGGAGAAACCCTGGACATACTCAAACCAAAAAACTAAACTCACTGCTTCCAAGTTGGCTCCAACCCATAGTGACCCCTCCTTGGGTTTCTGAGGTGGTATTTCTACAGAACTAGATTGCCCAGTCTTTCTTTTGAGGGGTAGCTAGTGGGTTTGAGCTGCCAGTCTTCTGGTTAGCAGGCAAATGCCTTAGGCACTATGCCACCAGAGCTGGATCTCAACGCTCAGAGAACTACTTGGCTAAAGTCTCCTTTTCCATTTCTGAGAGCCATGGGGGACAGACAGGTATGTGGCAGCTACATGGGACTGTGTGGCTATTGTCTCTCTCATGCTCTGCCCTTCAGGTGATCTCTTCGGCGTCCTGGAGTTTCCCTTCCTGTATTTCTACAGATTCCACAGCAGCTGCTGTGCCAGGTAATCTTTAACTACAGAACCCATTGCTCTATTACTCTGTATGTTTTCTGTACTTTCAGCTGTGTTTCAGTCTCAGTACATTCGTGTCGTTGTGGGTATTTGGATGTGTTGTGGAAGTGAGTGGTGGTAGGTGTGAGCAGCTCCCTCATCGGTCAGCACATTGTTACTGAGTGCTCTCAGGTGTCAGTGCTGTGCTGGATCCTGTGAGGAACCCCATCCTGCAGAGGTCCCTCGGCCAGGGTAGTGGTTGCAGACTTGGCTGAAGAGTTCAAATCCTCCCACTTTTTGTCTCCATAAGTAAATCTTACACAGAGCACCAATATTTAGATCCAGAATTCTACCCTTTCTGCTTCTAACTTGACCTTCCTCTTGCTCCTGAAGGCAGCCTCTGCAAAACCTTCTCTGAGCCCTAAGACTCTGGGAAACAGGTTGGAAACCAGTGATTAGAAGATGTCTAGACCACACAGTGATGGTGAATATTTGGCCTGGGAAAGCACTCAGTGATTTAGGCCCATTAGAAGGATATATTTAGATATACACCCTGCCCCCTTTTCCTTCAGTGATCCCCACTTAGTTTGACTTTATTATGCTGAGGAGTGGAAAGGCTTTTGGGAACCATCTCAAAAGCATGTGTTCTGACATGATGGAGAGACTGGACCTGGGTTAAATCCTAGCACTGCTGCTTGCTGATGATGTGGCCCTTGGACAGGTTCTTCAGGTTCTCCTGAGCCTTATTTTTCTCATCTGTAAAATGGAAAAACAATACCAAGGCAGGGTATTGTATATATTAAATAAGATACGTAAGGCCCTAACCATTGTGCCTGGCCATCTAAATGAGGACCATTACCTGCTCAGGTACATGTTAACACATAATGAGCAATTGCTGAATGAAAATCAAACTAGCTGCTCTCACACATATAAAAGGGCACCTTGTGAAACAGTGATTCTTTACAGAACGCTAAATTGCTGATATGTGGTCAGATACTGTTTTGATGAGAGTACGTCACATTCCTCAGGTGTCTTGGGACAGAAAAAAAAATCAAGATTATAGTTTTGTTTCTACATTTGAGCCTCAAAATGATTTATTGGTCACCCTCAGAAAACTCTCAAGAGGATGCTGACAGAATTCATCTTGCCAGTTCCTGTCATTTAGCTTAGGTACATTCACTGGACTGGGGGCTGGGATTGCAGTGTAGTCTCAGCCCTGCATGGTCCGTATTGACTTAGGTTTCTGAGTGAATGAGTAATTTCATGAATAAGAATCAACACAAAGCTGGTTCCTTCGAGGCAGAGGTCAATACAGTTCCTCTTTTCAACTTCTCCATAGTCAGTACACCAGCTGCTCCCTTCTTCATAGCATTCTTTGTCTTTGCTGAGGTTGGTAATTCACTGCAACTTTATACTTATGGTTGTGTGGTTTATTAGGGTAAAGGATCCAACTCATGAATAACTCGGGGCTTGAATAAGCTGGAATAACAGGATACAACTCAGAAGTAGCTCAGTAGCAATATAAAGAGGTACTCAGACAAGGTTTGGGGAGGTCCCCAAAGTGGGGGGGGGCACGTGCCTCCCCAGGGGGCTCTCCTTTTAGGAAGCTCTCCCTGAGGAAGCTTCTCTGAGCCTTAGTGTTTTGGGCTTTTATCAACCAGCTCACACTCTCATTATTGGTTACCAAGTAGGTCCCCACACTGGCTCCTGCTCATTAATATAAACTCTCAGGTGAGGCCAGTGTAGCCCAGTGGCTCTGTGAGTTATTTTGCAGAGGCCAGGGACAAAAGCTAAACTGCTTCAGGTAAAGTAAGTCTTAGCCCCACACTGGGAGTCTGGTTCATTTGGCTGCAGGGCAGACAGAGTAGAGAGAGGAGGTTAACAATATGTTGTTATTTGGTACAGAGCAACCCGGTTTATGGGTCATTGGTGTTGGCTTTGTGGGGACACCTGGGTCTATTTCTGCTCCTTTAAATCTGCATCATGAAAATTAGAATAATTTATTTCTGTTATATTATACCCCCTGGCTTCAGTACAAAGCTATAATCTCTTTAAGAGTACGTAGGTTTTTCCCCAGGTCATTTCATGGCTCCTCCATGACCATGTCTCAGAATGAGAGTTGTCACCTTTGAGAGGTCCTGGGTGAACTAAGAAGGGGTCATGGAATCTGAGGGAACAATGGTGGCTGTGACCTGCAGACCCATTAACAAGGAACCCTGGGCTCCTTCACTTCTGGGATCCTCCCTCTGCTTTGATGACCTTTCTATACAGCAAGGGGTAGGAGAGCAGGAAGTAGAAGGAGAAAGGTAAAGTATCCATGCACAATTTAAAAGTCATTCACACACATTCAAATCAAGTGCCAGGAGGACTCATAGACACTCTCAGCTGCTGTGGCTTTTCCCTCCCCATATCACCCCTTGTCATCTCTCTACTCTACAGCTCTTCACAGGCAAAGGCATGAGTGACCACCTGGTCACTGTTCCCATGGTGAGGTGGAAATAGAGCTATTTGAAGAGCCTGGAAACCTGCATTCTAATTATGTCTCTGCCTCCATTTCCTCATTAAAAAAGTCAAATTTGGGGGCTGGACCATCTTTCTGTTCTTAAAGGGTCTGATTTCCATGAGGTAGGATGAAGATCACCATGTTGACACCTATTTAAGAACATAGAATCTGAGGCAAGGAAAAAAAGGGGGATGTGATTAAGATTACAGGTCAGTGAGCACAGCTAAGTCCAGGTCGCTTGATTTGCAGCCTGCTGCTTACCCACAAAGCCCTCTCTGCCTGCCAGTGTGAATGACTTGATGTCTTAATCTGTAGCTGTCCAGTCGCCCATAACTGCAGATACAAATCTGAACAAACTATGCAGGCCACAAGGGCCCATCATGCATATGGACAGTGGATGCCTAACACCTTTCCCTAGTTCTGCCCCAAGAATGTGGCTGTGCGCTAATTTACCTAATGAGGTGAAAGTCTGTGAAAGTTGGCTTTAGGTGTGTCTAATCTCATTCAACCTGCCTTTTTCAACCTGATAAACGTTTCTTTAATACCTACTTTGATGAAGGCACTGTGTTAGATAGGCTCTGTGAGGAATCACAGAGAAGCTCAGCATTGGGCTCGTGCCCCTAAGCTTTGGCACCAATGACTATAACAAACAAACAACAAAAAACAAACCCTTTGTTGTATAGTCGATTCTGAATCATTGCAACCCCATAGGACAGAGTAGAACTGCCCCTAGGGTTTCTAAAGCTGTAAATCTCTGCAAAAGCAGACTGCCACTATCTTTCTCCTGTGAAGTGATGGCTGGGTTCAAACCACTGACCTGCTGGCTAACAGCCGAACACTTAACCACTGTGCCACCAGGGTGCCAGTGAGTATAATAAAGGTCAGATAATGGTGAGATGCTAGAGGCTCTGTAGGCACAAATGAAATATAACTCATATGACCTGCCTCTCTGGCTTGGGCTCCAACTATAGTCATGTTTCTTGCTTTTCACATTGCAATTTAAAATAAAATTCACACTCAAGCCCCACTTGCACATACTTGTAGGAAGTCAGCCTCTTTCTCTTGAGGCTGCTCCACCATACTCTATTCCCTGGTTGTCCTGCCACTAAATGTCAGAAAGAATGACAATTCTGTTTGACACTCCCTTTGCTTTGGCCTTGACCACACGATGACACTTCTGAAAATGGTTCTAGCGCACACCTCTGCATCTCTGACCACTGCTGTGCCAATGCCTTTGCTGGCCTAGACCTGTGAGTAGCCCAAGATGCTGCCCCAGCCTCGGGCTCTTTTTCTTCACCTACATGTGCTGAGGCTTGCATCCCCAAAGCATACTGTCTGCCTGGTTAGGGGAGTTGTCCCTTTCATTTCTGAAACCTACTTTCCCTTTCAGACGAGTACCATTAGTTTAAGGGCCAGTTCAGGCCCCTCTTCTCATAGGGTGAGTTTTCCTTTGGAAGTCTTTTTCTGGCAATTTGAGCTTCCTAGTAGAACTTGGAGTTATTGAAGCTCTACTTTGGCAGGCACCAATCTCCAGAAGCAATCTGGGAGGAGCATGAAGTAGTATCCTCCACAATTTTTTTTTCTTTCATGATTTAGCCAGAGACCTCTCAACTTTCTATGTCTTCTCCCCACCTCCAGTGCAGTGCTCTCACCATGTTGTTTTGTTAGGTGCCATTGAGTTGACTGCAATTCATAGTGACCCCATGTGGCAGAGTAGAACAGTCTTAGAGGGTTTTCTTGGCTGTAATCTTTATGGGAGCAGATTGGTCTTTATCCTGCAAAGTGGCTAGGTGGGTTTGAACTGCCAGCCTGTCAGTTAGTAGCTGAGTGTTTCACTGTTGTGCCACCAGGGCTCTTTCCTTTCAATATAGCTCCTTTGAAAAGTGGAATGTGTTTATTTATTTAGTAGAGATTATTTTAATTTTCCTTTTGTTTTTTTATCCAGAGATCACTGGAAAACAGATGAGAGAGAAATTGTGTGATAATTAAAAATTGACTGGTAAAATGTAGCAGAAAATAGTTTGCTATTGGGTAAAGGAAGACAAACCTCACTAACTAAAGAATATTTTCTCCTTCCAGTGGATTTTTAGGATTCTTTCTCATGTTCAGCACAGTGAAGCTAAAAAACACCATGGCCCCAGGGCAGTGTGCAGCCTGGATTTTTTTGGCTAAGGTAAGAGAGGGGAGGGGTGGGGAAATCTTTCCAAGAGCCTCTGTGTGTGGGGTTCTCAGAGCCTGTTCAATGGGTGGTTCCATCTTCCTGAAATTATTTCCAGCCACTGGCCCTGAGCCTGATCCTTCACTAATTCAGGCAACGTTTTTTTTTTTTTAATTTTTATTGTGATTTGGGTGAAAGTTTACAGAACAAATTCATTTTCCATACAGCAGCTCATACACATTTTGTGTCATGACATTGACTGCAATTCCCCCACAGTGCAGCAGCTCTTTTCCCACTTCCTCCCCATAGTTACCCCTTCCCTGTGTCCTTCCTTCCCATGCCATCCCACCCCCTGAGCTGTCTCCCTGTACAAATACTGCCTTTCTGTTCTCCCATGATTGATCACTCCAACTAGTGTATTTACCTGATGTAAATATTCAGCCCATATGCCTCTCTGTTATTTGGCTGGAAGCCACAGGAGAGAGTTCAATTCCAGACCTGAAGGGTAACTAGGGGCCATAGTCTCAGGGGTCTCACTGGGTTCCATCAGACCAGCAAACTTGGTCTTTTCTTTTTATGATTGTGAGTTTTGTTCCACTTTGTTCTCCCACTCTAACCAGGATCTCCTGAACCAATCCCCCTCTGAGTGGTTGACAGTGGTAGCCGGGCACTATCTAATTCTTCTGGTTTCTGGTCTCATGGTAATTCAGGCAACAATTTCTGAGGCCTTCCTCCTATTTTAAAGGAGCTCTGTTGGCATAGTACCTGAGGCATTTGACTGCTAACCAGAAGGTTGGCGGTTCAAACCCAGCCACTCTGTGAAAGGAAGACTGGACAATCTATTTCCATAAAGATTTACCGCCTTGGAATCCCAAAGGGGGCTTTTGTGAGTTGGAATCAACATAATGGCAGTGAATTTGGTTTTTTGAGTTTTGGTCCACCTATTTTAATCAGCATTACCTATTCAGTCTTTATTGCACTTCTGGAAGGTGACCTTGCATAAACACCTTGCCTTCCCTGAGCCTTATATTCCCTCATCTTAAAATTCTAAGGCCCTTCTGGCTTCTAGATACATGGAACAGTTCTTAATTTCCTTTCCTGTGGGCTCTGACAGTCTCCAGAACTCAAGTGGCTTGCCCAAGAATACTCAGCCTATCACAGGTGATAGAGATAGGAAAAGAGAAAAATGGCTTCAATGAAGTCTTTAAAATGGGATTATTATAAAAATGCCCATTATGTATCTGAGTGACTATGGTTAAAGTAGAAGATAGAGAGGTGAGAAAACTAAGAAGAAACAAGAGTGGGAAAGCAGCTGTGGGGTGCATAGTCCTAAATGCTTTCACTTAACTCATTCTATTGGGTTACTAAATTTCTGTTAGGGAGTCACATTGTGGGACCCTGGGTTCTGCTCCCAATGAGTAAGATTTCTTAATCAATTGAATGAAATTGTGAAATTGTGACTTTAGCCATCTGTATACTTTTTGGTTGATTTTTTTTTTCCTGAGAAAATAACATTTTTCTTTGAAAATCAGACTTTATGGTGATACTTTCATCCTAATAGTCTGCTTTTCAATAGCAGTAGTCATTCCAGTCCCAGCAGAATGTAAAGAATGGTTGAGATACTAACTTCCATCTTCATGGAGTGAGGAGATTGACAAACCTTCTCCCCAAAAAGCAATCAGCCATAGGACACAATGGCCCTTGAGACCAGAATAAGTGGATGGTGCCTGGCTACAAATGCCAACCACACAGGAAAGGATCAAATCTGGAGATCCTGGATAAAGTGGGAGGGAAAACGTGTAACAAAACCCAAAAACTCAATAATGACCAGAATTACTGGTCAGATGAAATCTGGTGAGACTCCCATACTATGGCCCTGAAATACATTTGGTGCCTGGAATAAAACTCACCCCCAGAGGCAGGCTTTCAGCCCAGTAGTTAACAAGATGTATATATGCAGACCACTCAACCCAGGATGCCACACCCACACACTCAATGGTAATACATCCCTTAAAGCAATAGACCATGGGACACCAGAGGACCAGCATTCAAACTGAGGAAATGCAGGACAAACAGGAGTACATAATTATGAGGAGCACAGGGGGAGGGTTGCAGGGTAGGGAGGGGAAGAGACTGGGTTAGGATTGGACATGGCAAATGGGGAATGAAACTAAATGTACACGTGATGTTGAATGTAAAACAAGCTCTTAAAAATAATAATTAATTAAAAAAAAACTATAAAGCTGGACAAAACTGTCAAAAATAGCCATTTCACTTCTCTAAAAACTGACGAAAGGCATGGAACAAGCTGAGAAGCATTTGTGCATGAAAACTACGGAACTTTGGGTTTGAGCTTTGCTGTTCTTGCCCAGGGTTGCTCCCATTCCTTTCTCCCCAGTTCTATCAATGTGAGCTCAGCCAAGCAGGGCAGGTGGTGGAGACCAGCAGTCTTGTTGCCACATGCAGAGGAAGTGTACTCTGTTTGGAGCACTGTCCAAGAGCTTCCACTAGCTTGAGTTTATAGTCTGTTTGGAGCAACCAATAGTCAAGTGGACTAGCCTGGGATTTAATAGTTCTGGGAATGATGCTGTGGTTAAAGCATTGGGCTTCTAACCAAAAGGTAGATGGTTCAAGCCCACCACAGGAGAAAGATGAAGCAGTCCACTTCTGTAAAGAAATAACAGTTTTGAAAATCCTATGTGGCAGTTCTATTCCTGCCTGTAGAGTCACTGTGAATTAGAATTGACTTGGTGGCAGTGGGTTTGGTTTTGGGGTTTTTTGGGAGGTGAAGCATCATAAGGGGCTTGATAGTTCTCTGTGTATCCCAGATTGATCTTAGCCTGTATATGTGGGCAGCAGAGATGGAGAGTGCCCAAGCCACCCACACATCACCGGCCAACAGTCTTTGTGCACACACAAAGGAGATGTGAAAGAGCTGGGCAGAAAGGGAAGGTCAGGGCAGACAAGAACAGTCTGAAGTTCGAATGTATTCTCTAGCACATACACATAATTGGAAGCGGAAAGTAGAAACTTTATGGGCTCAAGGTGTTTGAGTATAAACTCGGACCAGTCTTTACCAGAGCATCAAGCTCTGCAGACACAGGAAGAGTTCTAGGAAGCCAGGATTAAAAATAAAAACTTGAAAAAAGACATCAATAACTATGCATTTTCACCACTCATCTGTCAGTTTGTCATACTGTGATGGCTTATGTATTGCTATGATGCTGTGCCACCAGTATTTCAGATACCAGCATGGTCACCCCTGCTGGATAGGTTTCAATGGAGTTTACAGACTTAGACACACTAGGAAGAAGGACCTGAAAAATTCCACTATTTCTAAATATATTAGCCACTGAGGCTTTATGAATAACAGTGGAATATTGTCTGATAAAGTGCCAGAAGATGAGCCCCTCGGGTTGGAGGACACTCAAAGTATGGTTAGGGAAGAGCTGACTCCTCAAAGCAGAGTTGACCTTAACCCTGTGGATAGAGTAAAGCTTTTGAGTCTTCATTTGCTGATTTGACATGACTCAAAATAAGAAGAAACAGCTGCAGACATCCATTAATATTCAGAACATGGAATGTATAAAATACCAATTTAGCAAAATTAGAAGTCATCAAAGATGAAATGGAACACATAAAGATCGATATCCAAGTCATTGGTGAGCAGAAATGGACTGGTATGGCCATTTTGAATAAGATAGTCATGTAGTCTGTTATGACCTCAATGACAAATTGAAGAGAAATGGCATCATATTTAGCATTAAAAAGAATGTTTCAAGATCCAGCCTTGGAGTACATCACTGCCAATGATAGGATAACATCCATATGTCTACAAAGGATACCAGTTAATTCTGCTATTATTCAAATTCATGCACCAACCCCTAAAACCAAAGATGAATAAAATATTTTTTTGCAACTTCTCCAGTATGAAATTAATCAAATACGCAATCAAGATGCATTGATAATTACCAGTGATTGGAATGTGAAAGGTGAAAACAAAGAAGTAGATGGAAAATAGAAACAATACCAGTGATCTCATGATAAATTTTGCAAGACCAATGACCTGTTCATTGCAAATACCTTTTTTTCACCAACATAAATGTAGACTACACACATGGATTTCATGGAATACACAGAAATCAGATTGACTGCATTTGTGGAAATAGGTGATGTAGAAGTTCAGTATCATCATTTAGAACAAGGTTAGGTGTCGACTGAGTAACAGACAATGAATTTCTCTTATGCAAGTTCAAGTTGAAGTTTCAGAAAATTAAAAGAAGTCTATGAGAGCCAAGGTTTGATTTTGAGTATATCTCACCTGAATTTAGAAACCATCTCAAGAATGGGTTTGACATTTACCTCAAGTAGACACACGCCCTGGAGAGAACAATCATGGGAGAAGGAAGGGCTGCTTATGCACAGGGAGATAGCTCAGGGTGCAGAAGAGTATGAAGGGATGGATACTGGGAGGAGGTAACTATGGGGAGGAAGTGGGAGGGGAGCTGCTGCATTGTAAATTTTGGTCAATGACATGAGACAAAGTATATGTGAACTGCTGTATGAAAAGTGAATTTACTCTGTAAATCTTCACCCAAATCCTAATTAAAAAAAAAAAAAAGAATGGGTTTGATGTATTGAACACTAATGACTTAAGACCGGATGAGTTATGGGATGACATCAAGGGCATTATATGTGAAGAAAACAAAAGGTCATTAAAAAGGCAGGAAAGAAAGCTTCTTAGTAAGCCCCATATGGTTTCCAAGGCTTTAAATCTTTATGTAAGTAGATTGCCTCATCTTCCTCCCACAGAGCAGCTGGTGCGTTTGAACTACGAACCTTGTGGTCAGCAGCCAAATGCCTTACCCAGTATGCCACCAGACTTAACAGCACCCTAAAATATTTGAAGTAAAAATGGACAGAATTGAAATAGACAACTCAGAAGTAATAGAGATTTCTATACTGTACTCTCAACTAGATAGAAGCAATTAGATAGATAGATGCAGCTAGATAGAATGAGTAGATAACAAAGGATATAGAAGACTTGAACAATGCTGTGAACCAGCTTGAATAACTGAAATTTTTACAACAATCCACTCAATGACTTTTCAAGCACACGTGGAATATTCTCCAGGGTAGTCTATATACTAGTTCACAAAACAAATCTCAATAATTTTCTGATCATAACAAAATTAAATTAAATTAGAAATTTGCAACAGAGAGAGAAATCTAGGGAAACACCATTTATTTGGAAACATACATAAATAACATACTTCTAATAAGTCGATGAAAGAGGGGAAGGCCTTCATTGAGATGAATTGACACAGTGGCTGCGACAATGGGCTCAAGTATAGCAAGGATCATGGAGCTGGCACGGGATCAGGTGGTGTTTTGTTCTGCTGTGCCATGGGGTTGCTATCAGTTGGAAACGATTCGACAGCACCTAACAGGTGTCCCTTTGCTCTACTCAACAGCAGCCTCCTGGTCTATGTACAGGTTCCTCATGAGTACAATTACATGTTCTGGAATTCCCATTCTTCTCAATGTTACCCATAATTTGTTATGAGCCACACAATCAAATGCTTTTGCATAGTAAATAAAACACAAGTAAACATCTTTCTGGTATTATTTGCTTTGAGCCAAGATCCATCTGACATCAGCAATGATATCCCTTATTCCACATCCTCTTCTGAATCCAGCTTGTATTTCTGAAAGTTCTCTGTCAATATACTGCTACAACCATTTTTTAATTATTTTCGGTAAGATTTTACTTGCATGTGATATTAATGATATTGTTCGATAATTTCCACATTCTGTAGGATCACCTTTCTTTAGAATGAGTACAAATATGGATCTCTTCCAGTCAGTTGGCCAGGTAGCTGTCTTCCAAATCTCTTCACATAGCCAAGTAAGTGCCTCCAGCACGGCATCCATTTGTTAAAGCATGTCAGTGGGTATTCTGTCAATTCCTGGAGCCTTGTTCTCCACCACTTCCTGTAGTGCAGCTTCAACTTCCTCCTTCCATACCATTGGCTCTTGATCAGATGCCACCTCCTGAAATGGATGAACATCAACCAATTCTTTTTGGTACAGTGACTCTGTGTATTCCTTCCATCTTCTTTTGATGTTTCCTGCATCATTCAATATTTTCCTACAGAATGTTTCAATATTGCAACTTGAGGCTTAAATTTTATCTTCAGTTCTTTCCGCTTGAGAAATGCCAAGCATGTTCTTCCCTTTTGGTTTTCTAACTCCAGGTCTTTGCACACTTCGTTACAATAACTGACTTTGACTTTTCGAGCTCTTTTATCCTGTCATTTCTTCCATTTGCTTTAGCTACTCTGCTTCAAGGGCAACTTTCAGAGTCTCTTCTGACATCAATTTTAGTCTTTTCTTCCTTTCTTGTCTTTTTAATGACCTTTTGCTTTCTTCATGGATGATGTTCTTGATGTCATCCCACAATTCCTCTGGTTTTCAGTCATTGGTGTTTAATGCATCAAATCTGTTTTTTAGATGGTCTCTAAATTCAGAACGGGAGCTCTGGTTGCGTAGTGCCTAAGGCACTTGACTGCTAACCAGAAGGCTGGAGGTTCAAACCCACCAGCCACTCCTCGGAAGGACCATGAGGCAATCTACTTTCATGGTGAAACAGCCTCAGAAACCCAAGGAGGTGTCGCTATGAGTCGGGTCCAACTCAATGGCATATAACAACAACAACAACAAATTCAGGACAGATATATTCAATGTCATATTTTTGCTCTCATGGACTTAACTGTCTTCAACTTCAGCTTGCATATGAGCATACAAGGCGATTGGAAATATCATGGCTTGTGTCAGGCACACCTTAGTCCTCAAGGAGACATCCTTGCTCCTCAGCACTTGAAAGAGTTCCTTC